TCACAAAACAATCACAAGTGAACCTGGGTTGCCAGTGCCTGAACCTGCATATCGAGGACACATACAAGTTTTTCTCATTCTCAGTATACTGACAGGCCATGTCTCACGAATTCACTCTGGGGTTGCTGTGGTTTAGGTAGTGAGTATTCAGATCAGAGAGAGTTCTTTTAGGTTTAAAACAACTGGATTTCAGCATTGAAACTGGCAACCAAATGAGACTCATATGAGGCTCATTCCATTTTATGATTAAATGAGCGTCTTGAGAACCAAAACAGGAAATTACAACATAAAAAACTTGGCCATCATCATCTATTGTCTTTGTAATTAAGAATAAATCAGCATTACATTTGTTATCAGTTAGGTATATTTGATTTGAACATGTCAACCTCGTATCTGGAGACACCCAAACTTATAATCAAAATCGTACTGTTCCTTAGGGCTGGGTATCATTCAGACGTTGCCAATCCGATACATGCCTTGATACATAGGCCACAATATGATACATACCTATGATACATACCTCGATACAGTGAGCGATATGATTCAGTACGATGTTTTTCAAATTAATTTGATACGGTTCAATAAAAAATAATGTCTAAATCATGGCTGTGATACTAAAAGTCTTTGTTAAACCACTTTTTGTGCAAAGTTAAAATGAAACACAAAAACACAAACATTTTAATCATCAAAACTGTGAAAATGTGAAATGTGTTGCATAAAAGAGTTTCCTTCCTCTAAACGAGCAACAAAACTGAAGCACTATAACAAAATAATTTAGTAAAATATGCCAAAAAATACTCTTGGCGATTTATCGATACAGCAGTCCACGATATCGATACTGTATAATCACATTAAATGATACGATATATCGATATTTCAATATTTTTGCACACCTCTACTGTTCCTGTTTCTATTTTCCCTCAGTTCCATACAATAAAGTGCATTTGGAATAAAAGCCAAGCTCGCTGCATTTGTGACGCACTGAACACACCCATATGAATAAGAACATAATGAGAATAGAACGGGAGGGCTTGATGACTTCCAGACTAACTACAGTATGATCAGATTTTGCTCGGACCAGAACCCCCCAATAGCATTACCACTCCCAGATTGGCTGGTATCACTGCAGTATATTGTTGTAAAGGAGTGAGGATCGGGCTGCACTCGTATAACCAGGCGTCAGATCCCACTGATTAATGCCTTTAATAATGCCAAGAGCACACTGAGGGGAAGAATAAAAGCGCTCTCCGGGACACGCAGTCGAATAAATTAAACACACCCCATGTCCAAGGCCATCAAGCAAACTGCCAACAAGCTTTAATAAGCAACTGAATTATACAGACCCCTGGACTGGCCCGGGTGGTGTCATCAGTGAAAAATTGGTTCGATAATAGCATTTCACACCTGTTTGGCCTGCAACACGGAGTCATGACTGTGATCATTTATGTGTTTCTGTGCATCATGTGGATTAGAGTTTATGGAGCTTATGCAATGCTTTACTGACTTTTTATTTTTTACATTTTATGGCATTGTGTTCTCTACAAAACAGACCTGGAGTTGTGTTTCGGAGTTTGGTTCTTTCACACATGTCTCTGAAATCTTGCTGCCTTTCACTCCACATGAAGATAATCCATCCTGTGTGTTTTTTAAAATCCATACACCTTTAAAGATTCAAGTTACCTCCACTGCACAGTTAAGCGTTTTTGATTTTTCATAACGTTTTTAACTTCATACAGAATATTTATGTTTTCAATTCACCAGCAGATGCAGTCCTAGCGTCTTCTCCTGGCTTTTTGTACCATGCCACTTATGAAATTTATAGACATTACATAGGAAACGTGAAGTGTCCAAAATTGTTTAGAATGCCCAACGACTAATATGATCTTAATTATTGGAAATTATCATGGTTATTGTGAACTTTAATTATTATTGACAGCACAAAAATGGACAGAATAAGGATACAAGAAACAAAACAAACCAGGTTTAATTCTGTAACTATAACTAAACCATGGACTAAATCAGAACACCAATGGACTAAATCCCAATTAAACGACATAGTAATTACCCCTGAACCAGAGACACATTTGCCCTCTTGTTAAACCCCCTGCGAATCATCACTTCAGCGCCAAAACATTGCGTCTAATGGTGTTTAGTTCAACAAGCTGAGCTCCCTCTGAAGTCCACTGGCCCTCCTCTTTTGCAGCTCGCTATCTCTCCTCCACACACGCAGAGCAAACAGTATGTCAGAAATGTGGCAGCCCCAGGCCTCTAGAGAGCTCCACTCAGCGGGGTGTGAGAGACGGGGCAGAGGCGAGAAAGGATGGGGAAGAAGTGAAGCTCGAGAGGGCACTTGTCAAAACAATATGGCAACCCCTGCTATGCTCCTCCTAGAGTCAGGCCGTAAAGAGGTTATACGGAGTTGGATGAAAGCCGAAAAATGAACTGTGGTCGGTGGAGATAGTATTAGGGCTGCTGTCTGAAGGAAAATCTATCAACATGACAGATACAGTGGGCCAAATTTTACCTTTGGAGTGACTTTGTATTTTTGCAGGAAACATGTAATATACAGTGTTGGCTGTGATATTCCTGTAGATGTAGTAGTGTTGTTGCAATACTAAAACTCAATTTCGATACTAAGGAAGGAACTAATACTGAATACTAATTACAATATGACAATGATAACAACATTAAATCATTGTACTTTTGTTTTAAATTACCATATGGCCTTTTGTTTGTGTGCTCCATGGGCGTATACTAGTCTGTGTTTTCTGATATTTGGTACAGCTGAAGATCATTATAAAGCTATTTACGCAAGGTTCTAGTTACTTGTTTTAGTATTGATCAGTATCTGATTTTTGATACTTTTGACAACCCTAATATATAGAAAGTTAATCAATGATGACACCTGTGTTAAGTCAGAAGAAGAAACAGATCTACCACTAATGATTTTGGGACTAGGAAGATCAAAAGACTAGCCTGATTCATGAGCTGGTTTCACTTAGTAGAAACCATCTGACCTCGCAGCGTTAGAATTTGTTCACTCAACAATAGGCGGGTACTTTTTTTCATTTAACCAATTACTGCTATTTAGTCATGATGTATGTAATGCGCCGCTAACAGGGCTAACTGGTATATTAAGCTTTTCCCAAATCCCATAGGAAGAAGGGCAATAACGTCTTTCCCTTTGATAAAATTCACCAAAAATTCTCTTTGTTCCGGCTTTAAATCCTCAATCTCGGGAATCATAGCCAACAGAATGTATGACTCTTCGCTGATTGGCTGGTGTCTGAACTCACACTTCCTGGGTTTTTGCAAACTGTCTAGTGTCTTCTGATTCCTGACCTAGTCGCTGGAGAGAAATTAAATTGAATAGAGGCACTAGGTGGCACCAGCTTGGCTTTCAAAATACAGCAATAGGCAAAATTTTGTCAATTTCATAATGCTTTGAATGAATTGTCTAAAACTTGTGACAATCTTTTTTCTCTTGCTGTATATTACAATCGCTCATAATATTTTTAGACAATTACAGAATTTCACAGCTAAATTTGAACCATTTAAAATTAAACTGTCAAAATAATTGCTAAATCTTTTCAGAGCTTTGACATCAGTGACTGTTTTCTGTGCAAAATATTTAAATAGTATTGAACTATAGCATGTGCTCTTTTCATTGAGTAAACACCACTTCAGATTTGAGTCAGCCAGCACTTGTTGTCGTTCCAATACTTATACTGATAAAGTGAGACCACACCACTACACCACAGCAGGCATAGAGTTTGTGAGGGTAGAAAGTATCTCTTGTGTTTGTCTTTGCAATGACCTCTTTAAGCAGCCGCAGAGGAACCCGTGGGGCGCTTTACAGAGAAGTACATTTTGCACAAGTGTTCCAGGACATAATGCCACAGTGAATCCTGCAGGTCCTCCATATACACAACTGTCACCCACTTTGTGTGCCCTGGCTCTCCTCTGATCACTGAATATTCATGCAGTTATTTAAAGCAGTGCAGGGGTTTTGGTTTAGAAGCAACAGAGGACTACTTCAAACTCTAGGTGCCTTGTCTAGTGGTGTGCAAAAAATATTGAATTATCGATATATCATATAGTTACATTCAATTTTGTTGCTTACTCAGAGGAAGGAAACTCGTTTATGCGACACATTTGACATTTTCATATTAATTTTGCACAAGAAGTGGTTTAACAAAGACTTTTAGTATCACAGCCATGATTTAGCCTTTATTTTTTTATTGAAGCGTATCGAATCGATTATGAAATAGACTGAATTGAATCGTAAGCTTACTGTATCAAGATATGTATCGTATCGGCAACTTCTGAATGATACCCAGTCCTGTTGTCTTTTACTAGCTACCATGTATGTATAATCTTATTTGGTTTAAGGTCCTGTATTACACAAAATTGACTCTTTTAGGCCATATTATAATGCATTTACTTCCACAAAAACATACCAGGAGTTGTTTTGTTTCATTCACACATGTTTTGTTTCATTAACAGGTTTCAGTAATCCTTTATTATTGGTCTAAATCTACAAAGCTCAAAATGCTCTCTTCTATTTTGTGATGTTATATATAAGTGGTAGTTTTCAAATTAACACAACTATGTCACTTTTGTTCAATAGAGATGGGCAAGTCCAAATCCATGTATGGAGTTTAAAAACATTGAATCGAAAATACTTTAATATATAGGCCCTGTAAACTCTATTATCTTGTCATATGTTGCAAATTAATGGTGGTTTGGTCTTAGAAGGAAATGGCTTATAAAACAGGGCCGAATAATAAGCTTGAGGGTCTGATTTTTGCTGTACCCCATTCCTGTCCCTCAGCAATACACTCTAATGTCCTTGGTATGTTTGTGAATATGAATGAAGAGACTAGCAGACAGCTTCAAATTAATGATTAAAATGCAATAATTGGGTCTAATGCAAATATCAAAAACCTATGCTGGCATTTGAAATCTCATTTATTCATAATTTGTCTTTGTTTTGTCAGGTCTTCCGGAGGAAAGCAGTGGAGCTGGGAGAGAAGCTGCTGCCGGCCTTTAAGACGCCCACTGGTATCCCCTGGGCCCTGCTTAACCTGAAGAGGTAGGTCCTTCACCCGCCCACTCTGTGTCTGCCTCCATCAGAGAAATGCTCTTCCACTGTACCAATGCTCCGAGCCAAAAAACACTCACTCTCACAAAATAGGAACTGCACAATATAACTGCAACGTGTAGTCCTATTGCCAATTTTATCATCTCTATTCCAGATCTTATGTAACAGCCGCTCTGGTCGTCTTTGTTATGCCTTTTCAATACATGTATTTCTAAACATCAGTGTATCTAATAACCTGTGCAAAAACACAGTCTTAACAAAAGGATAATTATTTTAATATTATATTTATCTCTGTACTAGGCACCCCTGGTTCAAGTTTTGGTCCGGCCACACAATGTGTAGGTTATGTTAAGGCTAATTTAAATTATGGTGTTAGCGAGTTTAATTCATACATCCGTTTTTCTATTATGTTTCAAGGCCATCGACCGCATACCAAACTCATATCTTTGTTGACGCATTTCATAACATTTATGTAACCTTTTTTTCTGATCCACGTTTCCTCATCATTTATAAAACATACTGGAGTTGTGTTTTGTATCATTCACACATTTTAACGCACAAATCCTGCATGTTTAGTCTGAGTTGTTCTCTCAAACAAAAAACACTCTGTTCCCTATTTTGATGCCATCTGCCACAGGAAGTGCACCACTGTGTTTTTAACCTCCATACACTATCACTAGAATCATCTGGATAATTTCAGCCCAGAAACTGCTGATCTCTACTGAACAAAAGGTAAAAGCTGTTAACTTTGAAACTATTGACCTCACAAGGTGGAACAGGGCATTTTGAGCTTCGGAAACATAGACAAACTAAGAAAACAGGATTACTCAAACATGTGTGAATGAAACAAAACAAAACAAAAAACTCTAGGTATGTTTTTAAGTAGGTAACAACATTATACAACATGACTAAAAACTCAATTTTACGTAATATAGGACCTTTGAGAACAGTAACTGCAAAAATCTTCTTATAACTTCTTTCAAGACACCTGAAAGCTTTTTAAATTGCATCAGTCCTTCCCTTACTACTTGGCAGTGGTAAGCTACTATCAGAGCCACAGCTGCCCTGGGGTAGACTGACAAAATTGACCACCACCATCACTCACGCGTCGGTTACTCAATCACATTTGAAAACACCTCTGTCCGTGTTTGCGTGCAGACTTTGGTGTCTCATTTGCGAGCCCACTCCAGAGGCTGTCTCTAAAACTGCACCAAACTAAACTTTTGAGTGCTGTGACAGGGTGAGAGGGCACAGGCGCTCTTATTATTACACTGTGTCTCTGTGACAGCTCTGTCCCAATAGTGTCCCACTGCTCTACACAACAGCCTCGCTCCTGAGCTGCCCCCAATACAAACCACTTTAGATCTTTATTATGACCAGCCACTACAGTGAATAATAATTGAGCTGGATCCTAGAAATTATGAAAAACTGTATACTTTATATCTGTTAGATCTAATCCAACTTTATGAGAAACTGGATTAGTTATTAAGACGTTGGTGACATTTTTGCCCTCTAATCCTCCTGAGACAGACTACAACTTTATTTTTAAAAAGTTGTCAGTTTGCCATACACATTACACTTACATTGTACTTACGCTGTAACTAATTTGAACACTACTAAACAAAATCAACACTGTACATACACGTAAATATGAGAGATAACATCAGTACATTGCTGACAGGTTTAAGTCAAAGCTCAACAGGGCTCACAGCAATTATGCAAATACACAACGCACATTCAAGCGTATCCCTGTCTAAACAATGTAGCATATATAGTTTAGTGATCACAAGTAAGCTTAGGAATTTAAAATGCCATACGACAATTTGTTTATTCCAATAATTATACTTTTCTGTCTAACATTTGTTCCAAATTTGATATGAAAATCTGAAATGTTTGACTTGTATTAAATGAATGTTAGTTTCATGTCTTGACAGTTTCATAATGGTATGTTTAATCACAGTATGAAACTTGGCACTGTATAAATACGGTAGGTATAGTATTAATCCTTAGAAACAGAAGGGCTTTGTGTAACGGTGGGTGCCCCCTGCGTTGCACCCCAGTCGCCCTGCCACTCAAACGTCACGGATCCCAGCAAGAATCACTTTAATTTTATTTCTATCTGCGCATCCCCAGAGAGAGACAGCCCTCCTCTGTTTGTGAGCCGGTAATTAAAAGGCGGCTTGTCAGGACGATAAACGCGCCGTAACAAATTAATTTTCTCTGGCGTTGGAATGGGTGAGCGGACCTGGCCCCAGCTGTCACTCTCTCGGGGGTAGGTATGGAGGAGGCACCCGCAGGGAGAGCCTTCTGTGGGTGTTACCTGCACCAACACGAGAGCACCCGCCAGGTTGTCCCGCGGGGGCTGGAGCAGATTGGAGGCCATGATGACTTTATCTGCTTGAGTGAGCGGTGATAGCCTGCTGCTAACTCACACGACACAGCCCCGTGCACACGCTGAGCACTGCAAATGAAGATCCAACGTACAGCTGATTTAGACTGGGCTCTCCTATAGGACACAGAGGAGACTATATTTAGACTGGGATTGACTTGAGGTGGTTTATCAAGTCTTTTTGGTGGCTTGTAGCAGCCAAAATGCGAAAAGGTCATAGTTAACATGCATCATTTAGTTGCAGAGATGTTGGGTTGGTTACAAATTTGGTCACTTGAACTTTCCGTGAAAAAGCAGAAGATAAAATTTGTTGAAACACATAGACAGTTGCAAGACAATCAGTGAGAGTCCGAATCAAGGCCTCTCTGTCTGTTGCATTCTTCACCAGGTAACCATTGAGACGAAATAAAAATTTGAGTAAGGTCAAATAATCCAATTACCTGCTCAAATTGTGGACTGCTTTTTGGTTGATTTTGGGTGCATGTAGTTGGTGTGTAATCTTAGAAACAAGACTGGGTAATCCCTCATTCGTCCAGCAGTGTTCCATGGTAGAAAAGGTTGCAAAAATAGTCATCTGGACAAGGTTTTTGAAATTGAAACTGCCAGCTTTCATTCATAAATCATGTTAAATCTGAAGATACGGGTCTGAGAAGCTATAATTTTTTACTTCCCTGAGTTTCAACGATATTACCCAAATACTTGCCTTCTCTGTTATTGCAGTGTAATATGTAAAGCTGTAGAAATCGAAGACAATGTCATTAGGGCCTCATATTATACAAATGCTATATTGATTTGTGATGTCTTCTACAGAGTGACATGCTTTGAGCTTTAACCACAACTAACACTTCCTCCACAACCTTGACCCAGATGTCTACAGAATAACCAAGACATGCACGGCCCAATTACTCCTTCCCCCAGTTCTTCTTGTATGCCCTCTGAGTTACTTTGTTTTTCCTACATTCTCGCCCTCGTCCATCCATCTTGACTGGACTGACCCAGTATCTTGTTCAGGACATCCACTTCAGTCCTATTCCCTAACTGCACATTTACTTTAGTTTAGCCCAGAGCTATCTGCCAAACCAACGGGGAGCATCGGAAACAGGGACACAATTTCCAAAAAAAAAAGTTATAATAGAGAAATAGAAATCAGACACAAGGACAACAAGGTCGATTTGGTCAATAACAGTTTTTACCACAGCAAGACAAAGTTAAGTCATTATTGGTGGGTTCTTCCCTTGGTTTTCCATAATGATGACTATAGATTTTTCCAGTCCTCTCAGCTGGACTTTATGATCCATATGACATGTTGATCATCGCTTTAGTTTTGATGCCCAGTTCTGTTGATGACGGTTATCGGCAGCGGGGCCCTAAACCAGTCGCAGTGTGTGCTCACAGCTGTGCACAGAGCCATTGATTGACACAAACTGAGCGGAAAATGCTGCTAAGATTCAATTGATTCGTCTTATCGATCCCTGACTCGGGCTGGGGACACACCAACGCCAATACGGGGCCGCTGTGAATGAACGGACCATAGCACGGCCTTTTAAGTTCAAAACAAGCCTTTAGTTCTAAGTTAGTAAGTGTTCGCCTTTACGTAGCAGTCCATCTGGTTTGCCTGGTGTATCCTTTCGCTTTTCTATTAACATTCAGGCCGATAACGTGCTTAAATCACCCCCAACACACTTCGCACTGACTGCCTTTAATGGGATAGGTCTTTGTGTCTATGCGAGCAATTTGCTTTTAAAATGCTGGTGTGGTCACCGCACTGCTCAGATGTATTTTCATCTCATCTCACCATCTGACACTTTACCCACAATGCACCTGCACCGGGGTTGGATGGAATCACAATAGGTCATAATTGGATACTGGTTACAAATGAGTGAGTGTTCGAGGGATCGAGAGCACGGGGTCAGATAGAGGTCTGTGTATGGGCAAATTACTAAGCTAAAAGGCTGACTCGAGTCCAGGATGTTGCTGAAATCAATCTAGCTTTTTGTCTAATAATTTTCAGTGGCAAATTTGTTTTTCACTTTATTCAAGTAAAGGTCCACTGTGTAACTTTTCTAGTGAGTCTGTGTTCGTTTACAAGGAGATGTTACTTCTTCACCTGGAATTTTAGAGTTGATTTTAAAATGTTACGGTTTGTTTTTAAGGCACTTCATGGACTGGCCCCAACGTACATTTCAGATCTCATTGTTCCTACACAACTTGTCATCCCAGAAACGAGACTCAAAAGACCCTAGGGTGGCTCTGGGGTGACCGGGCCTTTTCTGTGGTTGGCCCCAAACTTTGGAACACTCTTCCTTCACATTGAGAGCACCTTTTCAGTCCATTCTTTTAAGTCTCACTTAAAAACACAGTTTTACTCACTGGCTTTTAACACGGCATGAGAATTGTGTGGTCCTCTGACTGTATTTTATTGATTTTATTTGCAGTATTTCTATTTGCTAATTTTAATACTTTTTTGTTGTTGTTTTTTATTGACTTGCTTATTTATTTATTTTATATTGTGCCTATTAGGGATGTAACAATATCCGAATCTCACGGCACGATATTATCACGATATGCATCTCACGGTACGATATTTATTGCGGTATTTTGA